ACACAGAAACACACAGAAACACACAGACACACACACAGAGACACACACACACATACACACACAGAGACACACACAGATACACACACACACACACACACACACACACACACACACAGTGAGAAAAACACAACACCCAGAGAGGATAATGAGGCAGCGGGGAAGAGTCAAGGATCCTCAAGGTAAGGCTCGGCCAGGGACAGCTGAGGCAGAGAAATGTTCTCTGCCACAAAGCACCTTTGTCTGACCTCACAGACCGGCTAATAAACACTCAAGTGGGCGAGTCGCCTCCCTGCCTCCCTCCTCTCTCCCTAACCTCTTCTCTTTCAACTCCTCATTCTCCTCAGAAGCATAACCGCCAGGACCCCGAGAGCTGCTGAGCGCTGCGGATTCCACGCAGGTGAGAGCCTGGGCTGGAGGGGAGGCTGGAGGGGCTGAGCGCTCTCGTGGGAAAAGTGTCTTGGAGAATGACAGGAATATGAGGGAGTGGGTCAGCAAGGAGAGATGAGGTGTCGGTGGTGGGTCACTAGGGAGGTACCGGCAGGGGCTGGTCCGGAGGAGAGAGTGGGTATGGATGAATTCCACGGCGTGGGGAGTGGTGGATCTGAGAAACACGGGTAAAGGGTGAGGGGAGGAAGGAGTGGACCGTGTCTTCTGCTTGTTTTCTTGATTTTTTCCCCTCCTTTTTTTTAATCACATCATTGACTTACTTTGTGTTATGTGTGTGCTTGTGTATGTGCTGCGGCCTGACTGTGGAGTTCAGAAAGACAACGTCTAGGCATCAGTTCTCTTCCCTATGTATCTTCTAGGACTTGAACTCAGGTCACTAGCTTGGCAGCAAGCTCCTTGACCTGCTCAGCCATGCTGCTGACCTCTGTTTTTGAGAAAGGGTCTCATGGGCTCCAGACTGGACTCAAGCTTGCTGTTGTACAAAAGAATGACCTTGAACTTCTAACCCTTTGGCCTCCACCTCTGGAGTGTTGGGATTATGGGTGTGTACCGCCACATCTGGCTCTGGCGACCGTTAGTCCATTCTTTTCTGGTGTCAGTAGTCTATCAGTCAGATATTTATACCACAGCTTCCTAATTGTTGGTGCTCGTGGCTGGCTGCCGATGGATGAGAGTGCTGGATGTATCGGGGACGGAAGAGTAGCGAGCCATGGTTACCTTTCTAGAGCTTTATTGGGAGAGAGAGAGAGAGAGAGAGAGAGAGAGAGAGAGAGAGAGAGAGAGAGAGAGACTGTGCAGAGGGGGAGAATACGGAAGGAGAGAGTGCGGAAAGAGAGAACACAGAGAGAGCACGCCCGCTTTTTAGGCTGGTGACGTAATTAAGGACATAACCCTTACACTAATCTGTAAATTCAAATCATGAAATATCAATTATCAGGGAAGGCTAGTTGGATGGCTGAGCTGGTAAAGGTTCTTGAAAGTGAACTCTGACGACGTGAGTTCAGTTCCTAGGATCTACAAGGTGTGGGGAGAGAACTGAGTCCCGAATCTTGTACTCTGACCTCCACACACATACTGACATTATTCTTATGTTTCCTTAAGGACCCAATGCTGCAGTATTTACAGAGGATCCTATTTTCCTGGTGATGAGCAGCATTGTCTAGAGGCGGTTTAAAGTATACAGGAGGCACCGGGCGGTGGTGGTGCACACCTTTAATCGCAGCACTGGGGAGGCAGAGGCAGGTGGATCTCTGTGAGTTCAAGGCCAGAGATTCTGGGCTACAGTGTGAATTCCAGGACAGGCTGCAAAGCTACACAGAGAAACCCTGTCTGGAAAAACAAAACAAAACAAACAAAAAGGTATACAGGAGAGATAGCTCAGTGGTTAAAAGCCATTGCTGCTCTGGTAGAGGACTCAGTTTCCAGCATCCACATCAAGCACCTTACAATTGATTGGCTCACAATCAATTATAATTACAGGTCTAGGGGCTCTGACACCTGTGTCTAGGGTGTACGCACATAATTCTGTGTAAACATTGTATATTTCGTACAAGGGACTGGAGGGATGGCAGATTTGGGGAATCTGTGAGGAAAGGTCCCATGGGCACTGAGGACAGTTTGACATATTCATTGTACATTTCCTTCAACCAACTCTCTTGTTCCTCAGCCCCCAACTCCTTTCCTATTTATTCATTTGTTTGTTTATTTACTTATTTATTTATTTATTTTTGGTTTTTCAAGACAGGGTTTCTCTGTGTTGTTTTGGAGCCTGTCCTGGATCTCGCTCTGTAGACCAGGCTGGCCTCGAACTCACAGAGATCGGCCTGCCTCTGCCTCCCGAGTGCTGGGATTAAAGGTGTGCGCCACCACCGCCCGGCTCCTATTTATTTTTGAGTGCTGCAGTGCATGTGGGGACGTCAGAGGGCAATCTGAGGTTGATTCGCACCCTTCACCTTGTTGCGTCTGTCAGGGTCTCTTGTTTAGAGCCGTGGATGATGGAACAGCTCGTTGTGAGCTTCAGGGCACCGTCCTCCTCCACCCTTCACTTCAGTGTGGGACCTCCGGGGTTACAGATGCACAGTCCCGAACCTGGCTTTTATACGAGTTCTGGG